CATCACGCTGAAGACAGACTCTGCTCTAGACAGAAATGCAGTGCCCAACTCTTCACCAAATCATATCCAACTTGGTTACTGTGAGCTCAGTGCTACTACGCTCGGCTCAGGTACCGCAGCTAGCAGTGAGATGTCGTCCAAAAGGGACTGGCGACGGAGGAGGAGCCAGGAGCCAGCGCGTTCACTGCGGCCCTCACTGCCTGCCAGGCCCTGCCGGAGCGGACTGGGGATAAAATAACCACGGAGGGCAGCGTCTCTGCCTCCTCGGGAGTCTGAAGGCTCAGGAAGAACTCATCAAGAGCTCGGAAGTAAGAGGCAAACTGGAAGCACACAGTGTAATAGCGAACACGTGGATAAACAGTGGAGATTCTGCTTTTTGCTTTCATTGTCTTTTCCATTTCTCTACTAATGTTCCTGTTAGGGATCACGCAGAACCCCCGAGGCGAGGAAACGGCCCAGAGAAAAGCAACAGGCGCGACTGCTCACAGGTGGGAGCGCAGGGTGACCGGCTCCCTGGCGCTGGCGAAGGGGTGGAAGGGAAGACAGGGTTCTTGTACCACCACGGAGCCAGGAGGACAGGGACCCCACTGCTGCCCGTACACTCGTCACCACCTGGCACCCTGCCTACGGAGTTAGGACCAGCAAAAGCAGCCTTTCCCTTGGGGAGCCGCAGGCAGCTGAGCACTCGCTCCTTCCACAGTGACCCTGGGCGCCAGCGAGGACCCAGGTCCAGTCCTCTGCACTCAGCGACCACGGGAAGAACCCGAGGTCCAGCCGCAGCCTTGAGGCCCTGCAGCCTGCTGCGCGATGCGGTGCTGGTGGAGCCCCAGGCTCCCGGCCGGTCTCGTGGACTCATGAGCCTGACTGCACATCTCCCAAAGTTCACGCTGGAAACTCTACCCGCTCGCTGGTGCGGATGGCACGTGGAAGTCACTGAGGTTAGATAAGGGCTTCGAGGGGGGCCCGGGACGGCATCAGCAGCTGTAAAGGAGGGGGAGACCCCAGCCTCCACACTTCCCACCTTGCCATGTAGCGCCCTCCACGGTGTCATGATGCGGCAGGGAACCCTCACCAGGGCTGCACAGATGCCACCCCATGCCCTCCCTCAGCTTTCCGTGAACATGTTGAACATGCCAGGCACACACCTGTGCCCTGCACCAACCAACACAGTGCAACCTGCTGCTGCGCTGCTGCGGCACAGGCTGCAAGGATGGGATCTGGCCACTAGAGGGCAACACTGGGCACCGGAATGCAGGTCTTTGGAGCCATCACCCCAGGACGCCCAGGGCAAGGCTCTGCCTGGACCAGACGCCAAGCTCTCTGACAAGACGCACTTCTCCAGACCTCCAAAGAGATGCCCGCTGTCTACCGTCCCCTGAAATGAGCAAGACCCGGCTGGCAGGAGCCCTGCCCCACTGTAGACTGCAGAGCCCGCCACTGACTTAAGGTGGTGGGGTGGGGCGGGGTGCAGATGACGGGCACAGCGTGTGACAGCAGCCATCCCCCAGGCATGTGGAGAACCTGCTTCCCCGGCTCTGCCTTCACAGGCCATGGCCCCTCGTTGCCTCAGCAGAAGGGCACGCTTCTTGGGTGTGTCTGGCTTCTGTGTCCACCAGCAGTTCCTGTATCCTCGCAGCCCCTGGACTCCAAGCTACGGTGACTCAGCTCTCTCCCAGTCTACCCAGGTTTGTATCCAGCCAGCCCCTGGCCCACCCGGCTGCCCGACAGGAAGCGACCACCCCCTCGGCAGCCAGGCCTCGGCTCCTGTCCCAGTCCAGTGCCTGCTGCCCTGCTCCCGGGCACACAGCGCGGCACCCTGCCCGTGCCATTCTCCCGCCTCCACCTGGACGTCCTCTCCTCTGAAAGCCCCACCAGATGCTTCCTCAGGGACCTGGAGCAGCGCCCGCGCTGGCGGCTCCGGAAGGGAAGATAACACCTCCTGCTCCCCTGTCGGAATGCCCGAGTGGCAGGCACAGGGCGCCCGCCGAGACCCATTGCTGCCTGTGCGGAGCCCAAGAGCACACGCCTGCCCCAGGTCCATGCGAGCTGTTTACTCCTGCCAAGACTGCCTGCCTGGAAGCCGGCCCTCCGAGGGAGTCTTCGCAGGAGTAAACAGCAAGGCGATGCTAGGAGGGGAATGAGCTGCTACGTTCTATTTGCAACTTTCATCCCTGTGCTCGTAACAGAGCAGGAGCTAAACAAAGAAAGCAGCGCCCCACCAAATGATGGTATTTAGCAGGTAGAATCATTTCTGCGGGTGCTTTGCGCGTCGGTGGTCTGCTCCTCCCAGGCTGCAAATATTTGCCACTTAAGTCTTTGCGTAATGTGAAGGCGACGTATTCTACCATCCTCGGAGCTACCTTTAAAAAGGCCTTAGGAAAATAGGCAACTTACCAGCTATGTGTGTTCTTGCTGCTAAACACAAATCCAGTAACTGTGCAACTGTGAAAATTCTGGTTTTAGCTTTTTGGTTTTGGGTTTGATATTGATGCCGAATTCAGCAGAAAGAAAAAACCCATAGTCACAGTAACCTTACAGAAGAATTTGATTTTTACATGCTGATTTTCTGATCTACCCCTACATACACTTTGCCACAAGCCCCAAGAGCTTTATCGGTAAGTGATCTGAATTTCCCCAAGTTAGCCCAGTGACAAAGCTCACAAGAGCGTCCTGGCCGGTGCCCAGCACCCGACGGGACAGGACTGTCCCCACAGGACAGTGCGTTTTCACTGGCTCTCTCCCGCTCACCTGCCTGCAGCTGGAAGCCAGCAAGCACACCCGGCACAGCATCCATAAACTGACCTGTGGTCACTGGCACAACACCGTACAATAATCACTATTATAAAATCAAAGAAGAGCACAGCGGGACAATGTAAATGCAAGTAGTAGTAATAACTGCGCACACGACTCGGGCTGTCGGTCAGAGGCAGCACTCTCCCGAGTGTGCAGGTGTGCCACCTCGGGATGCAGCCCGGAACCTGCGGGCACCACGTCTTTCAGATGAGCAAGGCCCTGAGGCACAGACCGTGAGTTACCTCCTTGCCCTTGGTCTCGCCACAGATGCCCAACTCTGCGAACCAGTCTCTCGGGCACTACAGGTTCTGCCTCCCAGGTTGCCTCAGCGGCACTGGATTCAGCGGAGAGGGCATCGGGTGTTAGGAAAGGCAGGGACTGAGGCCAGTGCGAAGCCGTGACACCACGCCCCTCTAACCTGCCTTTCTCCTCTCCAGGTAGTACTGAGAGTCACAGCGCCATCCTGTACTCCTCCCCCTCTGCCCAGCCAACCAAGGGTTCTCCACCAACGGGGTCAGCTTCAGAGCTGAAGGCAAGTCCCCAGGGTTTCTGTAACAAGGACAATGCGGAGCAACCTACGCGTCCACCAGTATGGCGTGGGTGAAATCAATTCTAGGGCATCCACAGAACAGCACAGAATTCCCTAAGGAGCCGTCACGGGGAAATACACAGTTAAACTCAAGAAAGGAGGTGCAGATCAACGCTGCCGCTCATGAGCAGAAAGAGATCTACTGTCTGCACGAACCCAAAGCCTCTCCTCAGAGGACTTCCTCACGGCCTGCGGAAACAGAGCAGCCTGTGAGCGGAAAGAGCCGGCACCCAGCCTGGCAAGTGAGCAGAGTCAGTACGAGCGCGTCAGGACAAATGGACATCGCACACCAAGATCCCGAAGATCCCACGCCCCTCACACACACTCCTGCCAAAGGCGATTAACGCAGACCGCACCCCAAGGAGACATCAGACAAACAGGAACTGACCACTGCCGGGGCTCCTCACACGTCAAGATCAGAGACGAAGCAGCCAACACCGCGGCTCCAGGTTAACCGAGACAGAGAGACCACGGCTGAGCGGAATGCACAAGCCCGCTCAGAAGAACGAGATGGAAAGAACGCTCCTGGGAACACGGGCAAAGTGTGACCGTGGATAACAACACAACAGTACCGTTGGAATAGTATTGTGTCAGTGTTAAATTTATTTCAACAACAGTACTGTAACCATCTGAGAGAGTGCCTTCACTCTCAGCAAACAGGGGGAAGTGTTTTGGACCAAAGGGCCGGGAGATTCCAACGGACTCTCAAGTGCTTCGGCGACAACGCACAAACACACAGCGGTGGAGACAGCACGGCAGGGACGGTTCCCGCGCGGATGGGAGCTGCCTGTACCGCTCTGGCACCTTTACTGCGGCCATGCAGAGACAGGGACGCAGTCTGAACCCCTGAGCTCAGCCATCCAGGGAGAAGTCACCCTGCTGCCCTCTGCCGGAAGCCTCTGCCCACAGCTGTCCGCGCACAGGGCTCCCCCAGCAGCCCAGCCGTGGGCCCCGCTCGCCACCTCCTGGCCGGCACAGGCACTGCACTCCCAGCACTCGGCCCCGAGTGCCACTGGACACGACCATGACTGTTCCCCACGCACAAGTGATCTGGCGGCCAGCGCCACCCCCAGTCCTCCGCCGAGAAGAGCGGCCTCCACGCAGATGAGCTGACTGAGGGGCAGGACGGAGCTGCGCTGCAGTGGGAGTCTGACCGCGGCCAGGAAGCAGGCAGGGCTGCAGCGTTCGGCCTCGGAGGCTCTGCGAACGCACCGCAGGCTTCAGGGAGCAGGAAGACTCGAGCCACTCCGTCCTCTCACAGTCGGCCTCTGCCAGGGCCGTGCCCGTCACCCTCCATGCCAGCCCCAGCCCCAGCCCCATGGCAGGGCACTGGCCACCGGCCCCTCCACGGTGACCACTGTCTTCCCCTCCGTCCTCGGATGTAGGAGGCCCCAGGTGGCACGGCGGAGGACACGGAGGACAGCAGCGGGAAACGGGGCACCAGGGAAGAGGAACAGAAAACACACTGCCAGCTGGCAGCGGAAGCTTGTTCAGAGCAACTGTCCAGACATCTAGTAGTCTGGGGGCTTTCCGGCACGAAAACACAGCACACCACCTTCCTCCACAGGGACCCCTGGGGACATGCGTGCACCGCACACCAGCCCACGCAGGGACTCACCAAGGTCAGTGTTGGGCTCCGCGAGCAGCTGCTTGAACTTGTCCAGCCGGGAGGCCTCTCTCTCACTCAGTGCCGAGCTGCCTGGGGCGCCAGGGCCCAGCGTGATGGTGGCCGAGGGTGGGAGGGACTGGGACCTCTGCAGAGGGGCCGGGTCACTGGCACTTTCTGCAGGGGTGAGAGCACAGGGGTGAGGGTGAGGCCCTGTGAATGTCGTGGGACCGCAGCTCTCCCGCCCGTCATCCCACACACGGTACCTCAGGGCCCTGAGCAACAACAGCAAAGGGCCACCTGTGACATCCCCACCCCTGGACCATTGTCAATAAAGTTGCTACCTCTGCATAAGAGCAAACAGTGACAGCCAGAAAAGTCCCAGCCACCTCAGGGCTGCCGGTGGTCCCCCCGCCAGTGCCTGGACCACAGAGGAGGCTGTCCAAGTGACACAACCCACAGATGCGCTGAGGAAGGGCCTGCGTGGGTCCCCCAGGCCTGCATGTGGTGCTCAAGCCCATCGAGTCACCTTGCAAGGAGAGGTGACTCCGTGAGGGCAGTGCAGCCAAGACAGGTGACCAGGACCCCCAGAGCACACCTGACACCACCGTGTCCCAACCCCCGGGACTGGACCACAGCCCCAAAAGCACGGAAATCAAGGCTGCCGGGTGGGTGAGGAAGGCAGCTAACCAGGCCTGGGACTCCTGCTGCCACACACAAAGGGCCACTGAGCCCGGGGATGGAGGGGAGGTGCGTGACATGTTACATCAGGAGCCAGGAAGACCCCAAGTGTCCAGGTCACCAACATAGAGCCACCCAGGGCCAATGGACAAGAGGCTCTGAGAGCTAAAGGACACCTAGCAGCCCATCTTTCAAAACCAGCAACGTGAACTGCAAGAAAAGGAACAAGGACAGGGCCTTGGAGCCAAAGCCTGACATCAGCCTCCCGCAGCTGCAGGGCGCTCAGGCCGGAGCACCACTCCCCGCACACCCATTTCCTCCTCCCCCTGCGGCCTGCCGCCTGCTGCCTCCCGGTCAGGGGCTGTACCCAGCTGCCCAGTGGCCCAGTGAAGTCTCTACGAGAGCCCAAGTCAGGGCACAGCCTCCTCTTGACGGCCCCGCCACCCGCGTCCCCAGCAGCAGCAGCCAGAGGCGGTGCTGCCTGAGAGCCAGCCTAGCAAAGTGAGGGGGACAGGGACTCAGCACCCCTGTGTCCCCCTTCACAACAAGTCATTCAAGATTCTGGAGGGAAAGCGCCTGGCAGGGGGAACCATGCCGCACCTCCAGGGTGTCTGCCTGCACCGGCAGAGATGACAAGAGGACCCTGACGCCTGGAGCCTCCGAGCGCCACCCCCTTCTGTGCAGGACAACTTTTCTCCCCACTCTAAGACGCAGGAGGTGGAACCCCGACAGCAACAGCAACGTCCCCCGAGGAAACAGTGACCAGAAGGCACAGCAACTTGGACCCACTCTCTTTACAACAAGGACCAGAAAGCACATCAACGTCCATCACAGGGTGAAGGGACCATCACCAGCTGATGTCCACTGGAGACCCATCACAGCTCAGACCTGCACCCTTAGCTGCAGAGACAGCTCTCATCCTGTCACTGCCCATGAAGCAAGGACCTCAAGAGCCCTGCCAACCAAGGACAGGCACCTGTCCCTCACCCCAACGGCACTCAGTGAGCACAGGGCACGTGGCCTCAAGTATGGAGATGAGAGGGTTCCAGGTGTCCACTGAGAAAGGCAGGAGAGCACAGGTGAGCGCAGGTACAGGGCAGGCTGCTGAGACCACACTGCACACACTGAAGCTCCAGCCCAACCTCCCGCCTGCGTGCAGGCCACAGGCTCCTGCGGAGTGACGTGTAGCTCTCCACGAGGTGGCACGTGTGTCACAAGCACCACAAAAGCTCAAAGGGACACAAGTGCAGGGAGTGGCACATGCGCAAGGGCAGCGAAGAAGAATGACCCCAGGACACAGACCACTCTAGGGTGCTTGGAACAGCAAAGCTGTGCGTGTGAGCATAAAGCACGCTGGACCTTGCATGTCAGTCACCCGGCAGAGGCCCTGCTCCAGAGCAGGGAGGTGTAAGAGGGCTGCAGGGGCAGCACAGGAAAGAGCTGCAAGGACACCAGACCGTGGACAAAATGCGTTTACTTCATGAGCACTGATGCAGCTACAGGACCCAAAGGAAAACACAACTGAGGCATGGGCCTCTCCTTCTAGGAACTTAGTGTCTTAGTTATTTTTCCCGTTGCTGGGACAAAACATCCAATACCCACAAGTTAGAGGAAAGGTTTACAGTAGCTCACAGTTTATACAGGTTTCGGTCCACAGTCAGGTGCTCCAGGGCAGGGTGGCATGGCAGCAGGGCATGGCAGAGAAGAGACAGTCCATGGCAGGGCAGGCAGGAAGCAGTGAAGCGGCAGCATGGAGCCTCCCTTTCCCTTTTATCCCATCCAGGCTACAGCCTTTTGGGTGGTGCCACTCCCACCAGAGTGGGTCTTCCTATTAGCCACACCCAGAACTATGCTAATCAGTGGGCTAACTGACTACCAGATACCCTTAATCCCATGGTCACACACCTGTGATCCAGCATCACACACCTGTGATGCAGCCACCTCCCAAAAGCCCCACCTATGAACACCGGAGGCCATGGGGGCACATCTGGATACAAACCTTAACACTGCATGCAGGTGTCCTACGCAGTCAGACAGATGCGGCCCCCGCCTTCCCCACCTCAGGAGAGGGAGACAGACGGACCTAACTTTCTGACCCAGGAGACCCCACAGAGCTCCCTCCCCTGTGAAGCCCTCCCTTACCTCCCGTTCAGCACGAACAGGAGCTCTGCTCTGGCCCCTGTGCACATGTGTACTTGTCTGCCTCCATGCTCTCAGTCACCACTGACCAGGGCCTCCAACTGCAGACCACGGACGTGTGGGGTGGACCTGTCTCTGTTGGTGGCAGGGGCTGCCTGGGGCACTGCGGGTGCTGCCCAGCCTCCCAGCCTTTACCTACCAAGTGCAGTGACACAGACCTGCCCCCAACTGTCTGAGACGTTGCCACCTGTCCTCCAGGGGCAGGATCACGCAGTAAGGCCAGCGCGAACAGCAGAGGCTCTGCTGCCAGGAGCGGGATCTGAAGCCCTGCCCTGCACTCAGGGAGCAGCTCCGGGCCCTCTCAGCACCTCTTCAGTGAGAGCGGAGGAACAGCCCGTCTTCCCTCCCACAAGTTTAATGCGGTAAAGCAGCTGCTGCAAAGTTTAATGAGTTCATTACCAAAAGGGCTGGCTACGACACCTGCAGCCGGTGAAAGATCAAACGTTATCATTCTTATTACCCTGAATTCCCCGAAGGCGTCCCCAGGGAGCAAACACAGGAAAGCGGGCCAAGCCCAGCAAGGCGGAAGCACAGGGAATGAGGCCATGGACCCTTGTCCTGGGCACGAGCTGCCCTGAACTCAGAAGCAGCATCCGACGCCCCGCTGGACACAGCCTGGGCTTAGTGCCACTAGGCCCCCACACCTGCAGTCCACCCTGCTCCTGGATCCTGACACTGGGGGCGCTGAGGACGGTGAGGACCGCAGAGGACGCACCCCAGCCCCACGTGAACAAGACGTCTCCAGAGCTGGGAAGTCTCGCCAGCGCAGCGTGAGAGCAGGAGAACTCCGGGCTCCTGCCAACACCCAGCGCCCGCCACAGCTGGGCCTGAGCGGGCAGGGGGCGGGACACGCGCGTCCTTAGTGCCGGGGCTGTCAGCCAAAGGCAGAAGCTGTAACTGATTTCCACTTACAAGTTCAAGTGCTTTTCAATTTGTTAGACTCTGATATAAAAACTGATCAAATGAAAGAATTCTTATTATCTTTCGTTTCGTGGAGGACGCCCACACCCAGAGTCCTGTAACATGTTAGGAGACCACCCGTTCCCAGAGGACACTCTGGACACCAGAGCGGGTATGAAACCCAGTCCTGAACCGACCCGCAGGGTGAGCTCAGGATCCTACAATGGTCCGTTTTCTCCTCTGTTAATGCGGGGAGAGCACCCTACGCACAGGAAGCCCTGGGAAGAGGGATGTGCGAGACCTATGGCATAGCAAGTGTCCTTGGAGGGAGACGGGGGCTCCCGAGACCCTGAGCTCCCACGGCCTGCCCACAAGGGCCACAGGCCTGCCGCCACACACAGAGGAGACTCACTCTGCTTGGAGAGCTGAGGGAAGCACACCAGACCCCAAGGGAAAGCGCGGCTGCTCCCTGGCCCGCAGTGCTGCGGCTACCAGTCTGTCCCCGCCGGAGCCCTGCCACAGGCAAGAACAGCCCTCCTCACCCCCACAGTGAGGCCCTCGGCCCTCTCCGGCCCCCCTGGACCCGAGCAGCACCTCCCCTGAGCTCCTCCTACCTGCGGCACAGGACGTGTGGCTCTCGCTGACCGACTTCACCAGCCGGAGGTCACTGGTCAGGGCTGCAGGTGGCTCTGCCACAGGCTTCGGCTCTGGCTTGGGCACGGGCACCTCCTGTGGCTCGGGCTGGCCCTGCCGCTGGCTGTGGTTGCGCAGGACGCGGTGGGCCGCCTCCATGACCACCTCGGTGTTCAGGCTCTGGGCCGCCATGGCCAGGAGCTCATCATCATCCTCCCCCGCATCCCAGGCGTCGCTGGTGTTGCTCTCGAACTCCTGGAAGGTGCTGACCCTCTTGGCCTTCCCTGGGGTGGTCGGCACCTTGGGTGTGGACTTGAGCAAGCTGCAAGGCAAAGGCACCACTGCTGCACACACTCAGAGCTTGTGAGTATTCCCCCAAATTCGCTGGAAGAGAACCCCCAGAGAAGAAGACGTGGGCGGCGCAAAGAGCAAACAGCTCAGGGAGACGTCGCAGTAAGACTGGACGGTGCACTGGAGGACCGAGTGAAAGGGAAAGGAACGTTCCAGGGCAAGCAGCCCCTGCCGTCGAGAGAACCCTGCACAGAAGCAGGAGGCTGCAGGGACGGTGAGCAGACCCACACCAAGTCACTTCGAGCAGGGCCTGTGACCCAACCGCTCCCGTCATCTCAGCAAAGCTAGAAGTTGGGCGGGAGGGACTGTGGGACACAGATGGGGAGACACCAGCATTTCCAAGACAGGCCTCCAAACAGGACCACACACACCCACGTGCCACTGATCAGGAAATATATCGGACACGTGCAGTCCTTCAGGTGTCCACACACTAAGCTACGCTGCCACCCGCTCTGGCGGAGGAGCCAGGCCACAGCCAGGGCAGGGAGGGCAGAAGAGAAAGGGGCCAGGCTGCCTGCCAACTACGGTGCTGCTCCGTGCCCCCTGGGGGCCCCACCCCTCACCCACACCAGGCCGCAGCCACATCCACCTCCCCACTGGGGGTGAGCAGCACTGGAGCCGCAGGGGAGCAAAGGCACTGGGCGGGAAACTTCACTTACGTGCCGTGCACCAGTGGGTCAAAAGGGGGGTGCTGGGCTCCATACACATGCTGGATGCTAAGGAAAAAGAAAGAGAAGACAAATCAGCTTGGCTTGGGCTCCGCCGAAAGCCCGCAGCTGACCCAAGGGAGAGCCAGCTCGGAGTAGCTGGCACGACAGGAGAAGCAGCGTTCCGTGAGCTGCTCCCCCTCCGGCCACCCAGGGTCAGCAGGGCCAGTCAAGGAGGGATGAATGGCACCACACAGGCCCTGAGCACAGCGACAGGCGAGGCATTCAGGCCCCTCCTGGGAGCAGGCCCAGCTAGGAGCCACAGCCACCCAAGCGCCACCGCAGAACCCTGGGGGCCCACGGTGGGCCAGGGGTCCAGGAGCAGAGGGCCACGCGGCCTCGGCTCACGGGTGGCATTTGGTGGACAGGACTGAGCCCCGGAGGAAGGCCCGTCCTGAATGCTCATCAGGGATGGTTTTGTCTGAAGAGCAACTGCAGTATCATAGAAAAGACCAAGGTAACTTTTTTAAAGACCTGATTGTTCTGTTTGCAACCTTGTGTTTGTCCCAGTCCATTTGGAAAACACAGCACCCTTTCCCTCAGGGTGACCTCGGGCCCCAGCCAGGCCAGGGAGAGAGACATGGAGGCTGCTCCTTCTCCAACTGAGGCAGACGGCCTCAGCCGGCATCCTCGGCCGAGCTTCTCCGACGCCTCCCTGCCGGGAGCAGAGGCTGAGGCTGGGCGCCCACCCATCACTGCATGAGAAGCGAATCCAGCAAGAAGGCGGCAGGGCAGGGCGGAAGTGGGAGGAGAACATCCTCGGGCTTCACTGAGCAGCCTTCTGGGCCCGGCTCCTCCCTAAACTTCAGGCACACAACAGAAGTCCTTGCTTGCTGAAGCCTGTCCTGAGACAGACTAAAGGACAGGCTGCAGAGCGGAGAACCACCATGACATCAGCGGCATGCGCGCGCATGTGTGAGATGATCTCAGAGTACAGGTGAACGTTCTAGTTTCTTAATGAAACCTGACCTTTCTTACTTAGTAATAGATCGTGACTATTCCTCCATATACTTAAAAACTACTTACCTGCTACGTAGTGCTTGAAAAAGACATACATGCAGTAAACTTAAAACCACAGCGCACATGGACTTCCCTACACACTTCTCCGCTACTCCTTGTAAATGTATAGTTATTTCAAAAAAGAGGTTTTAAAAACCACAAGAACAGAACAAGCAGAAGCTACTTCACCCCAGCCTGTGCCACCTGCCTGGACAATACCAGTCCTGATGTCACACTGTGCCACCTCACGGCTGCGATGTACAGAGTTTAACCAATGCTGACAGCAGACACTGAACTTGTTTGAAACTGTCTGTGGTTATAAAAATAGCAACACGGCCTCTGGAGACAAGCACCGCACTCTTAACACCCTCTGCCCTCCGGGCGACCTTCGAGGGAAGAGGGCACTTAAGGAGCCTCTGATCCCCGCTGCTAGCTGGACAGGGGAAGGGCGGCTCAGTGCTGAGTGCGTGTTTTTGTAAATCCTGCTCATTTGCTCCTCTTCTTCCTATAAACGTTTATGCCTTTGTCTTTGTGCTAGCAGAGTCTTCCCCTCGGGGGTACTGATGTGCAGAACTTCCTTTGTAAAAACAGAATTCATGTCTTGGTCATTCAGACGATGTGGTGGGCAACAGCAAGCTCACGAAAGATGTCCGGGGCCCAGGGCCCAGAACCTGAGAATGTATCACCGTATACATTCAGGCCCTCCATGGAAGTGACTGAGAAAACGAACCTGAGATGAGGATCACCTCCGGAGGGGCCCACGCTGGCCACGAGAGCACTGACCGAGAAGCACAGCACCGTCCCAGACTATGGCCAGAGGGGCCCGGGGAGACAAGACCGAACACAACCAGACTCCGCCACGGGCTCTGGAGACAGAGGAAGGGCTGTGGGCGGCCCTCGAAGCTGGACGGAGCAGGTAAGGGTTCTCCCCTGGGTCTGCCAGAGCCAGCCTGCAACAGCCTGCCTTCCACCCGGAAAAATCTGGGCCAGACTCCTGACCTCCAGAGCCCTAGGGTAACACGCTGCTCCACGCCAATACAGGGTGGCCATCTGCTCAAGCAGCAACAGGAAAAAGATGAACAGAAATCTTTCCTCCTGCTCACGGGAGGCCAGGTCAGTCCTGGCGACAGGAGGTTCAGTCAGTCCTCACCACGAGGGGCCAGGTCCACCGTCCTTCACCCTCGCCATACGACCTCATCTGAGGAGAACAGGGCCTCAGATGCTATGTAAGCATCTCACGTGCGTCTCCACACTTCCACAATTTCACTTTTCAATCCATCGAGAACTTGTCATGTTCCAATGCACAGTGTTTTAACAGCACAACTTTTCTAAGAAAATAATCAATTGTTGTAATCCCATTTATTAAAGTAACTTCGCCTTCCCAATGCTTTAGGTATCACTTTTAACATACATTAAAATGTTACATTAGAGCCAGGCAAGTAGCACTCAGGAGACTGAGGCAGGAAGACTGCTGTGAGTTTGAGGCCACCCTGAACTACACGGCAAGACTCTGTCCCATAAAACAAAATACTATATATTATATTAATTCATTTTTCCATTGTTCTAATTTTGATTCATTCCTAGGCCTACAGAACAGAAGTTTAATTACATTAAATGCTTACTTTTTTGTGGTACTGGTGATTGAACCCAGGACCTGCACTTCTGTATTTTTTCTATTTTGAGACAGGGTCTCACTAAGCTGCTAAGTTGCCCAGGCTGAGCTCAAACTTGCTTCCACACCCAGCAAACATTTACTTTTTTTTTTGAGGCAGGGTCTCACTACGTGTTCAGCCTGGCCTCAAACTCGCAGCAATCCTCTTGCCTCAGCCTCCCAAGTGCTGGGATTACAGGCGTGCACTAACACCGGCTATAACATTTAGTTTTATATACTAAAATTTTTCAGTAAAATTTAACAAGCATTTGTTGGATGTCTAGTCTGTGCAGAGTCCTAGGTAGGCAAAAGTACATACACCACAGTACAACTTATAAGTGTGAAATGTGGATTGCCATTCACAATGTTCTGTGATAAACCCTACAAGAACACACCAGGGGAGCACAGAATGTTGGTTTTTTTCTTGAGAAAAAATTACATCCAAACCTAAGAAAAGTGGGGCAGGGAGGAAATTCCAGGCAGAGTGAGCAGTACAAGGGACCTGCAGGAAAGGGAGAAGGCGAAAGCTGGGAAAAGCAAACTGGCGACCACCTCCACAGCGAGCAGTAGCCCATCCCTAAGCCGAGCCCTCCCCGGATGCTCCTGGAGCCCAGCCCAAGCCTCACCCCACAGAGGACGGAGACCCAGAGACGGCAAAGGAATTCAACAGGTTTGGCCCTGGGCAGCTTTGCTATGACTTCTCGCTCCCCAGCAAGTGAGTAAGGAGAATCAGATGACTTCAGGAGAAGATTCTACAGTGACATCCAAACTGAAGCGTCATGTTCATGTCTGCATGCGTCAGAGTCAGTAAGATACGCCTCGCACTGAAGAGGAAACCAGAACACAAAACTGGGATCTGTCCACCAGTCAGCAAGGACCCACTCGGTCACAGGCACCGTCCTGGGTGCTGAAGTCATAGACACACAGCGTGGGCCCAGGCAGTCCACGGGGGCAGGAGCTGTTCATACCGAAGAAGCGACACACAGCTGGCAACATGAAGGGACAGCCCAGGACCACCCTCAGCTCCTGCCGCTCTTGTGGCCTCCACACTTGTGCCACTTTCCTATTTCTCTGCCAATATGAAATACTGCAGGCCATGAAACATCGACTCCTTTAACCTGCCCAACTCAGTGAGGCAGGCATGATTCTACCCATTATAAAGATGGAACAACCATGGTCTAGAAAGCACCTGCCCAAGGTCAAACACACCCTGCAGGTTACAAAGCCAGCTTAATAACGGACAGGACATGAGGAGCGACCACACAAACACCACCCACAGCACTGGTTCCAGACTCCTAGCATCTTGTAGATAACAGCTGAAGCCTACCCGATCCTGCTTCCCTCCTTGTCTTCTCAGAGGCAACTGCCAAGCTGAACTTGACACTGGTCATTTCTGTGCAAGTGTTTCCACTTTCATTGAAGAGTTAGGCACCTCTGCAACACAGTATCAGTCTGCACATCTGTACAGTTTGCATCCTCCTTGTATTTATGTACATTGTGCACCATGAAAGATTGTTACATATCAGCTTGAATGCATACAGCTCCAACTTCCTGTAAAAGCCATGCTTCGGCAGTAAACCAACTTTCCAAAAAAATTTTCAAGGAAATGCTAAAAATGCAGAAGCAGAGCTGTTCTGGTGAAGGAGAAGAAGAGCTAAGCTTCCACCAGCAGAGAGAGAGAAGCAGTGTCTGCCCGGACCACAATGAGACCCTGGGGGAGGCCCACCGAACATGAGGAGAAATCCTTTGCAAGTAACGGGTCTGACAAAGGATTGCATCTAGAACAGATAACGAACTCTTAAAATTCAAGAATTAAAACACAAATTGAATCAATTTAAAAATGGACAAAGGATTTGAATGGACATTTCTCCAAAGAAGATACATAAATGGGCAGGAAACACATAAAAAGGGGCTCAAAATCATTAGGAATCAAAACTACACTGACAGAACACTTCACACATAATAGGAGGCCAAAATAAAAACATGTTGGAGAGAATGGAGAGAAACTGGAACCCTCACACATTGCTGGTGGGAATGAAAACGGTGCAGGTGCCTTGGGAAACAGAATGGTAGTTCCTCAAACAATCAAATACAGAGCTTCCTATAACCCTGGAACCCCACCCCCAGTCTCAGATACCCAAGAGAGCTGAAACGATCTCCACACAACAGTTAGAACAGTAACGTCCGCAGCAGCATTAACCATAACAGCCCATGGTAGGAACAATGGGAATGTCCATGATTGAGTGTTGCCCAGCTATAAAGTCAAGTCCTGACACATGCTGTAACAGTGATGGTGAACCTTCTAGCACTTTCAAAAACAGCTGGCTGTGGCACGCAGGCCATAGGTTTGCCACCACTG